AAGCCATTTATTACAAAAGACGTTAGCTCCCTGAAGTTTGTCGTGCAGAGGTCTACACAGTATCAAGCACGCAGTCTGGAATTCCGTCGGTACCCTGTGAGTAGATTGGTTTAATTTTATGGAGATCTAAGAGAACGGAGCTTTCGCTTAAGCTCGGTCAACTGTGAAGCCAGCCGAGGCAGCCATATGAACGAGATGGTGTTTTATACATAAACCGCAATGTTGAGGCTATCCAATAAAAAAAAAATTTTGAAAAATATATACTCGTTGTTTTTTTACAGCGATTTTTAAACGCAAATCTTTCGTGGGCCACCCTGTATTATATGAAAAGTAAAATATTATCCGAGTACAAATAGTTAGCTTACTAAGTAAGCCTCTTGTATTCTGATAGGAAAGAAGAAAGAAGGAGGCTAGTTTTTTGGGGCACAAGAGGATATGGAGGGCGCTGGGGATGGTTCTTGAATGGTATTTTCCATTTTTCCTGAACTATTCTTTTTTTCTCTTTACTTCGTATTTTTTTACAAATATGCCCCGGGGCCAGAAAGAGCACAAGGAATACCAATCATAAATGAATTTAAATTGTTTATCCTTCAAATCATCAACTTGGATTTTGTTACGGATATAAGCCGTAATATCCATTGATGAGAGGTCTGGGGTGAACCGTGAAACAAATACTGGTATTAGCTGGGGCACGGATACATATAATATGTTACCGTTTTAAGTATCACACATGCGATCCTTTTTGTTACTCCAGAATTTGTATCTGCACCACCAGTATTGGCCGGTAATCCGGACTGTAAATCATCATGACGTGTTCTGTATCAGTGGATGTACTAGTAGGACTTTGCCTTGTGGTGTAGATCAACCAGCAAAATGATGTTACGCTGTTCCTCTTGCCTCCTCTTTCGGCTCTGAATTGGCAGCCCTTTATATACGGGGTATTTTTTTAAGTCCCACGGCCCACTTACCCGCCCAACCGACCGAGGGGCGCAGCCGTGTATTGTGCGGCACGATTCGCGAGAAGATAGACGCGAGATAGGAAAATATAGGTAAAAATCCGGGGAAAAAAAGTAATAGAAAGATTAATTTCGTGCCAATGAAGCTAGTATTACTCGTATTAGGAGCGGCAGAGAGGGACACCGGAGGTAACACGGAGAATTTTAGAAATTTAATTTTTAAAAAGGACCCTTTGTGACCTGCCATTCAGATAACTTGAGATCATAGAACAGAACGGAATAGAACAGAAAAAAACGGTTTCGCTCTGAGCGCGAGCGAGCTCATTCAAGAACCTATAAATCGGTTGCTCTCTGAGTCTGTTCGTAGAGTCTGGAAAAGACACTTATTTGCACACCACCAAGAAACGGTCGACAGTTATTTGCGAGCTCTGCTTGAGATCCATCTAAGAAGATCAACTGGAAAACCTAACAGGTCAAGTTTTTGAACTAGAAGTAAGTGATTTACAGAGTCAACTGCTTTACTAAAGTGTAAATGACGTCTGTTTGAAAACTACTATTGAAACCCTTTATAACAAATGTAGTAAGCTTAGAAGGTTTGTGATTGTGGATCTACGTTTAATAAATCCGTGTTGACACGGAGAAATGATTGATCTACAAAGGTGCTGCAAATGAGTAGTAATTTTTTCAAAAAGCTTAGGAATAGCTGAGAACATAGAAATACCTCTGTAGTTACTGGCTTCCAACTTGTTAAAAACTCCTCACAAATCCCGATGCAGAAGAGCGGCTTGGCAACAGCGAAGGAGGCGAGAATGCCGGAGGAGTGAATTGCCGGAGTAGACCCTCACACGCGCACGGTGAATTGACGGTACAGCAGTGGACCTTGGACCGGAGGAGGGAAATAACGTGACTTCCAGCACCTACAAAAGGACGGCGCAAGCTCAGCTCAGGGACGGTACGAGTGGGAGAATCGGAGCGATTGCGTGAACGCGGAAGAAGTAAAGTCAAACGACAAGTCTACAAGGCTGTGGCTACAACGCTGAGATCCAACGGTGTAAGGTCGTGGTCAAACCGAACTTAAAGAGTCCTTGCGTGGTGTCAGGCGATGAAGGCAACTAGACGATAAGGGAGAACCCAGTTCCACCTGTTAGACGATACACGTTGCCGACAAAGTCCATATTGAACTCCCGAAGCCTGCGATAAAGGTGACTAGGCGATAAGCTGAAACATTGTTTCACCTGCTAGGCCATACATCTTGCCGGCCCCGGTATCCGTCCCGATCTCAGACATCTGGAGCAGCAAACCAGAAGCGACGCAGAAGCAGCAGAAGCAATAAGGCTATAATAAGAGAAATAATAAGCCAGCACAATTCCAATCCTTGGGCACGTTATCTTGCGTTATCCTTTGGGCACGGGCAATCACACATTATAAATTCGGTGGGACGAACTCACAACCTCTCTGAAAACTAAAGAATCAGGTCGTTACATCACATTGTAATTCAAATAAAGATGTTGCTTAATATTTAACGTACTTGCCTTGCTTGCTAAGCTTAATTATTATACCCTTGCAGAGGGTTTTATAATTTTGGTCAAAAGTGTGCAACGCAGTGAAGGAGTCATCTCCGACCCTATAAAGTATATATATTCTTGATCAGGATCACCTCCTGAGTTGATATAGCCATGTCCGTCTGTCCGTCTGTCTGTCCGTCTGTCTGTCCGCCTGTCTGTCCGTCTGTCTGTCCGTCTGTCTGTTTCTACGCGAACTAGTCTCTCAGTTTTGAAGATATCGAATTGAAACTTTGCACACACCCTTCTTTCCTTTGCACGCAGTATATAAGTCGGAACGGCCGGGATCGGCCGACTATATCCTATAGCTGCCATATAACTGATTGATCGGAAATGCCATAACTTTGTTGTTTGTAAAGTTAGAAAGTTGGGATTTTCTATGAGTTTTATATTTGGCCAATCAATCCGACCTACCAAATTTCATAAGGATCGGCCGACTATATCCTATAGCTGCCATATAACTGATTGATCGGAAATGCCATAACTTTGGTGTTTGTAAAGATAGAAAGTTGGGATTTTCTATGGCTTTTATATTTGGCCACTTAATCCGGCCTACCAAATTTCATAAGGATCGGCCGGCTATATCCTATAGCCGCCATATAACTGATTGATCGGAAATCCCATAACCTTGGTGTTTGTAAAGTTAGGAAGTTGGAATTTTCTATGGGTTTTATTTTTGGCCAATCAATCCGACATACCAAATTTCATAAGGATCGGCCGACTATATTCTATAGCTGTCATATAACTGAACGATTGGTGTTTTTAAAGTTAGGAAGTTGGGATTTTTATGAGTGTTAACAATGCATCATATAAATAATTTTGGAGAATATAATTTACAGAATATTCTGCAAGGGTATTTCAACTTCGGCTCCGCCCGAAGTTAGCTTTCCTTTCTTGTTATTTTTTCACAAAATTCATCGATATTTAATTTGATCAATTTCATCACACTCGCAAACATCCTAATTTGATCGAAAAGAGCATTAGTTCCAAGAAAATTATTGGCACTCATTTAACTTTTAAATTGTAGCCACACTCTGATTTTTGTATACCCTTTCAGATATTATTATAATTTCAGTCAAAAGGAGACCTTTTCCACCCTGTAAAGTATATACCCTTGGCCCTCACTTAACACGGGGGTTACGTTCCTAGAAATCCTCGTGTTAAATGAAATCGTGCTAAGCGAAACATGGATTCAGTACAAAATATGTTCTCAAAATTCAAAATTGGCAGCCAAAAAACATTTTTTATTGTTCAAATTTGGTGTTTTCATTAAAGTTTCATACATTTGATCAAAATTAACCAAATGTTATTAGGTATATGCCTTTGCATTGCATTCATATTTTCAAAATTAAAAGTTTGTATTAAATTAAAAAAGTTGCTTCATTTAATTAATTAACAGGTTAATCTTTATAGAAACTTAAAAATGTTGAAAAGTAAATATTAAATAAAAAAAGTTGCTTCATATAATTAACAGGTTTAACTTTCTAACAAAATGTTAAAAAGTAAAGAGATCATATATTTCTATTCACATCAAATTTGAAATGCATTTGGTGGCATTTATAGTTTAAGCCAGTTTATTTCAACATGTTCTCTTTTTTGGTGGCTTCTTATCAAAAAAATCAGTCATTTTCGATTGTTTGGTAGCTTTAGAGCAAAAAAAATATATACGATATTTTGCAATCGTGTAAGAACGAGGTTTTTCGCGTGTTAAAATTGGGGATTGGAGGAAATTGGTAACCGTGCAAGACCGAGTTCGTGCTAAAATAGTCCGTGTTAGGCGAGGGCCAAGTGTATATTATTATTTCGTCTGTCCGTCCATCTGTTCGTTTCAACTCAACTATATGAAACAACTTCTTCGATCACAGCTGCAAAACGGTACCATCGTTTTCTGCGACAAAAGGCACCAAATGGATATGCATACCCAGGCTTCGAATGATTGGTAATCTCTCGCTCTTCTTGAAGCGCCCAAAATGGACGAACATTTTCCGAATGGTATTTTGCGACTTGATAAAGATAATAATAAAGAAATCAAACATGCCACCGGCATCACGAAATATAGACATATCCTGGATCTTACGGAAAGGTGCACCCATTTAAATTATAAACCTTAATAGGAAAGGTCTTTCCTTTTACTATGTCAAAAAAATACAAATAAATATAAAGATCAAAACCTTTAAGTACACTCTTAAAATTAATTTATAAATAATTAAAAAAGGCATTTTTTCAATTCAATTCAATTTAACCCTCGAAATACAACTTTGTTGTGTTCGATGTTTTTACAACTCTAAATTTTAAAGCACAGCAGTTTCGACAAAATATCAGTTCAGACGTCAAAAAAGGGAAGTACTGGCGACTGTCAATAAAATAATAAAGCTTTTAAACAAAACGGACTTGTTTCTAATTACAAATTCAAAAAAGGGTAAGCCATTACCATATGCTAAAAATCCCAGCTGTAACTAATCAATTATAAAAAAAGGTAATGTAAATTCTGTATTTTATATTTATTTTTGCCTGGCTAGCTTATTAAAGATAATTACATTGAAGAATACGCATACATGTTTGTTTGTCTATGTGTACAAAGTAAAGGATAATTATTATTCGGAAATATTGTTTGTCATTTTATTATTATAGGAATTTATTATTCCTTATAGATATAAAAATATATATACAGGTTATCTATGATAATAGTAATTCATTTATGGCTTCCTAACATGTCATTATGATTTGACGGTGCTGCATAAAAAGATTAAAACTATAACCTTATAAATTGTATCCTTAATATAGAAGTATTTTACGAATACATTTATTTTTGATCAATTTAACAATAGAAAATGAAAAATCCTTAACTAATCAGTACTATGCAATTAACTTTTATTTTAACAGGTTGTTTTTTGTTTATATAAAAAGCATTTTTCTGTGTCTACCCCTAAGAAAATATTTAGTATTAAGATATATCATTTAATTTAAAAAATTTACTTTTGTCCTGGCCTATTTAAAATCAGGTAAAAATAATATAATAATAATTTGTCGGCCTTTTTATAGAACTATAGTTTTATTTATATAAAAACTAGACTTATTAAACAGTGTTGTGTATTTAAGTTTCAGTGTTTGTTTGAATTTAAAATGTTTTTCAATGTCTACACGTTTATGCAGTTTTAGCATTTTTGTGTCAAATAGACGTTTGAAATGAAATTAATACACAACACAGTGTACCAAGCTCATAAATTACTTTTCTGAATCATTTCACATTAATTTATTTTCTTTAATTATTCGTGATTGTGACAAATGTTGTTTGTTAAAAAGCTAAAATTTACTAACTTATAGATCATATAAAAAAACGAATACTTTTTTTAAAACTTAAATGAGTATATATACTAAGAAAAATTTATTGATGTATAACACATTTTGCAAATTAAAAGTTTGTACATCAACCAAATTCAAATTTGAGCGCACATTCTTTACTTGTCGCCGTGCACATGAAAGTTATGATGTCCTAGATTGACTGGGTAGCAAAAAAATCACAAGAAATGATTTTGTAAAGTGAAAAAGAATAAACATTATAATTTATAAATAAGTTTTCCGATATATGTATGTATATACATATTTACTACGTAAATAATGGAAATATAAATGTTTAAATTGATCTATGAGTTATATAAGACATATGGATTTTTGAATAAGGATACAAGTTTGTAATGTGAAAGCATAAAATCTAAACTTTTTAAATAAGCATTTTAATCTTGGTTTTAAAAATAAATTTTTAATTTAGTTTTTATTAATGTGAGCATAAGATAAATATTTACCGAATGATAAATTTTTATACTGAAAATTCGTATATTTAATATATAGCTTTTCGCTAGTTTTTTGTTTTATATATGTATATCACAAGTTTGAAGATAGTAGAAAGAGGTGATTTAACTACATTTATTGGCATAAACGAACAATCAAAACATCGTTTGATTGAGAGTAAATTATTGAAACAAGATGGTTATCGTTAAGACATGCAAAGCTAAGTATCCAGGACCTACAAAAATCCTAGCAATCGATGCCGTTTACAGTCGCACTGCAACTTTTAAGACGATGGGAAGATACAACTTCTCGTTCAGCATTGGATCCACTTTGTGAACTGTTTTGATCCTCTATGGACCGAAATCGTAGAAAGCCTTGGTCTGTTACTAACATACTATCAGAAGCACTTGACGTTGTGTATGAGTTTGAAGATGCAGACGCCACCGAAGCTGATGAAGCAGTACACAACTCGGAACGAAGCTTTCCATTATTTTGATTATGCATTTGTGTGTGTACACCTAAATGTAAAAGCGGGTCATTCAATAAATTTTTAGTTGCTACTGCGTCGACAAGTACTGATGACGATATTCCATTTATGGAAATAGAATTTGGAGAGCTGTCCTTGGCAATAATGGCAGAACCATCATCGTTGTTTATCAAGTTTGTACACTCTACATTATTTCCTGATATTATTTCGTCTTCCTCCTCTTCTTCTTCTTCTTCGGAATTAGGATCATAAGGTAGCTGTTGTAGTTGATGCTGTCTAGTGGGTATACTCTTAAACAGATCAGTCCCACCCTGCAATGATCTTAAATTTGAGGGACGACCACTTGATCTCTGGTAATAGTGGGCTTTGTCTCTATCCGATATTCCTAACGTCTGCGCTCCATTGGCGGTTATTCGTTGAGTCCCAGCAGAAGCAATTGGTGTATCAACAGTACGACCTGAAGCAGTTCCTACCAATGTTACTCCACCACTAGGAATACTGCTCAAAGTACCACTCTTGCGAACGCCGTTGAAAAATCCACATTCATATGAGTTATAACTTCCATATCGCCCTCCACCAGCATTTGATGACGAGCAGGAATTGGTTGAGTTTGAACTGCGGCGCTCCGGATTCTTATTTTCGAAGAAATTTTGTTCAAGTGTACCATTACCAAACTTTCTTTCGCGCCCATTTGTTATTTTTTGGCGATCATGGAAACACTCACTTTTTGACTGAGCATTGTGAACTGATTTATCCTTAAACACAGGTCGCTCAAATATATTAAATTCATATCGTTTGTTTTCCTGCTCAAGTGGCTCAGAATAACAACTGTCGTTTTGCAACAGTACTACTTGCTGCTGAGAAGATCCAGAACCTGAAGTAGAGCCAACCTCATTTTTGTCGTAAATTTCTTTTTGCACTTTTCCAGAAGTACCACTGCCGGTGGTGTGTAAATGGAAATTTGGATTTTCATAGTGATCTGGAGGTGTATCAGTCATATAGTCCGCGCTCGTATAGGTGGGCTGCTCGTGAAACCGCATTTGATGGGATTGGTGATTTTGCTTGTAGTTTTGTGTAGCTTGGGATCCATAATCTGCCACATTTTGACCATTAGGAGCACTTCCAACCGAACCCGTATCATAAGGCCTCTGGTACATAGGCTCCTGCAGTTGATATTCACAGGGCCGGCTGTTTGAATTTGGTGCAACGGTCGGCCCTATAGAGTTCAGAGCATAGCTGTCATCGTATATAAGTTTTCCGGTCCGCATAGTGTACGTGTGAAGATTGGGATTTGCGTTGCAAATAGCTGGGAAGTCGGTTTCGAACTGCTCTTGACTAGAGCTCGATGTGCATGGCAGAAAGAAATTGGTTACATTTGAGTTGTGGCTGCCATTCCCGACATGTTTCTCTCTAATGGCATTAATCGTTGAACCACCATTTTGGCCGTACACACCCATGGCTCCCACACCAACACCGGCCATCCGAACGTCCCCATTAGCAGCATTTAAAGAATCGTGCCCAACACTGGTCTTAAGCCCTGTTACCCAGGATATTAAAGTTATTATGGCTATCTCTATGAGCCGCAAAGAAAACTGATATCCCCATTGTAGCCAGTCGACATCGACAATATTAGTTGGACGAGATGACGAAATACATATGGCACCAAATATCTGTAGGGCAGCCAATAGAACAAACAGAAGAGCTGTGGCAATCGTAATATGTATGGCGTAGGACAAGTTCTGATAGCCATGAATATAGTTTTGAGATTTGCTGCGAAGAATGCGTTTTAAAATGCGATACAAGTAGAGATAAAGGAGTCCCAAGCTGAGACATATAAAAATATAAATTATTTGACAGATAAGATTCAAGACTCGCGGAGGCGGTGGCAAAATAGTCGATGGAGACATTGTAGCAGTAACTTGACCTTGTTGATTATGAAGTTGCTGCCGACGAAAATACTGCTGTTGCTGCTGTTGTTGAAAATACAAATGGTGGTTTTTGAGCGTATACGATTCAACATAATGTAGTGTAATGCAAAGCACAACGTGTACTCCGCAGCCTACAACCACGGTCAGCGGTCTTATCAGAGCCGAGTACCTATTGTTCTTGTGGTTCAAAGACTTAAGAAAAAGGAACAACATAAGCACCGAAAAAGCAACTGTTAAGAATGTTGAGGGTAAATTCAGCAAGAGTTCTGAAGTGAATATATTAAAGGTGCCATGAACATTGTATGCGTCGAAGCAAAGGAAAAATATTCTCAATATACAGATCACAATCAGTATGAGATAAATGCACACAAAGTACGACTGCGCAAACAAATGTGTAAGCTTGTTATAGGTAAGCAGTTTGTAAAGGGAATATACCGATAAAATAGTAAAGAGTACAACTGATAAATAGATGTGAATATTCCAGGCCCAGGTCCACGTAGTGTTTGCCGATGCAGCTGCTGCTGAGGCGGCAATCGCATCACGATCGCCCATGCTCGGATCCAACCCTTTAATAGTGTCAGAAGACTTTCCGTCATGTCTGGATTGGCCCGCGTTAGTGGTGGCATATGAAAATGAGGTGGCTGAGACGTCGCCAATGGCAGCAGCTGCTGATGGCGTTGTTCCTCCTGTAGTCTGATTAGCATTATCATAGTAATCCAACATACCTAACTGGTATTTGCTCTGATTAATATTAGGACTAGCCACAGAGGATCCATCAACATCAGTTTTCTCCTCATTTGTTAAAGTTTTTTCGATCAGTACAATTGGTGAAGAGGGCGGATGTCGCACGCTAATTATGGGTCGCTGAGTTACCTGCTTTAACAACACAGCAGGTATGTCCCCGTTCTTTCCATTCGATCCCAGAATACGTCTTATATTTGGTAAAACTTCCTGTCTTTTAATGGGATCAGTGACATCCGGTTCATGGGGCCCCTTTGCGATTGCTGTCTTTTCATTTAAAAAGTTGTCACTGGTGGTACGTGCCGGTGTATTGAGAGCTTTTTTACGATCCGTGGCGGACACATTAGACACCGTTCCATGAGAGCCAGTTGAATCAAGAGGGTGCTTTGCATCTACACCAGTATTAGCGTAACTTAAGTCCGCTAACGGATTTACAATGGCATCGTTACTATTGCCTCCCAGATCTGGTGGTCGAATAGGGATCCGGTCCTGACTGGGCATTAAACTTGGCGGTGGGATGGGTCGCCTATTAATACCAACTAGACCCTCATTATTGGTACCACGCAATGTGGGCTTATCTGCAAATGGATTTTGATACTCCGGTGGCAGTGGCGGTGTGAAGAAGGCTCTCGAAGGTGGTGAATATGATGGAATGTCGCCAGGATACATTGGTATTGTTGGTGGTTGCCCTCCGTTCGATTTTTTTAAAAGGTTGGGAACTGCGAATGGGGTTGGTTAAAAAATTAATTATGAAAATTATCACATGTCAACTTACTTGATGATGACGGAGTCGAATTAGACTGAACGGTGTTCCTGTGACGATCTCTGTCATGTGGGTGGTGACGATTTGGATTTGGGTAAGTCGGGTTATTATTACTTTTTAGTATGTCAGCATTGGGCGCCGAAGTTGGCAATGCATGGTCTCTCTCTAAGTCAAGTTCATAATTTTTCTGGCGACCATTGACACTTTGTTGTTGATGTACGGAGAAATACCTGAGAATACAAAAATGTATATATTAATTACCAATTATAAAAACCTGGCTTATTCTAAGATAAAATGTTATTGATTGACCAGTTTTTCTTTTTCCTAATTGAAAAATAAAGTTAAGTAAGTACGGTTGTAAATAAATATACAGTAAGTTGGGTCGGAATTACAAAATTTTATAGTCCGGGATTAATTTTGTTGTATTAAGGTTGAAACACAGTATTAATTTTTTTTTCTGGTTTTTTTTCTGAAAGCACAATCTTTTAATAATATTGTGTTAAAATTTTTTATTGATCCGAGTAAAACTTCCGAAGTTTGGGCAGTTTATTTTTCTGTGTTAAAAACTTTAAAACACTATCCTAAAAAGTTGCAAAGTCGGTGTACACGATCCCGACCAATCGTTTTGAAATTTTGCACAGTTCTTCTTTACTGAATTTTTAAGGTAACGCTGGTACTTGGATTTTTGGGATAACGTCGAGATTTTTATACCCGTTACTCGTAGAGTAAAAGGGTATATTGTATTCGTGCAAAAGTATGTAACAGGTAGAAGGAAGCGTTTCCGACCCTATAAAGTATATATATTCTTGTTCAGGATCACTAGCCGAGTCGATCTAGCAATGTCCGTCTGTCTGTCTGTCCGTCTGTCTGTCCGTCTGTCTGTCTGTCCGTATGAACGCTGAGATCTCGGAAACTATAAAAGCTAGAAGATTGGCATTTTGCATGTAGATTTTAGGAGTTCCTACGCAGCGCAAGTTTGTTTCAAAATGGTGACACGCCCTTTCTGACGCCCACAAGCCACAAGCTGTCGCCACAGTTTTGATGGTATTATGAAAATTTTAATTGATATGTATTTGTTTCGTCAATACCTATCGATTGGCCTAATAAAAGTCTGCCACGCCCACTCTAACGCCCAAAAACCCATTAAACGCTTAAGCATGGCTAGCGCCTACATTTCTACATGGGGTAGATGGCGCAATACAATAGCGCTATCTAACGGATGACTTTGGAACAGCTGGTCAAGGTGCTCACCAGAGACAACGTTAATTCTCGATAAGGATTTCTATTAAAGGAAATTGCGATGGCTTTCATTTGTCAATACCGAACTATATCCCAAGAACTATGCAAATCAAATCAAGTTAGCCAAATTGGAGGTCTGAGTCAAACAATGGCGTATGTGTGTATGTATGTAAGCATATACATATGTATGTATTTACATTGTACACAGTTGCAATTGCCCGGCAATTATAATATTAAGTTGTTTAGCTGAGTAACGGGTATCTAATAGTCGAGTCACTCGACTATAGCGTTCTCTCTTGTTGACATTGAAGTGCCTTTCAAAATCGGAAAAACATTTTTTTTCAATCTCGAAACATGGAAAAATTTGTCCTGCAAATAATGCAATTTGATTTTTTCAATTCAGATAATTCTGAGATTAGTTACTAAGTATACCGCAAGCCACATATTTTTCGAGGTGCCGCCGTAGACTGCCTATATCTCACTCAGTTGTCAATATTTTTGGATGCAAATTTTCACACATATTGTTTAAATTTTGTACTATCGCATGGAAAAACAAAAATTTTTACTGAGACTAGTCGTACGCCAATAAAAATTCGTAAAAAAGTACCTATTTTTCTAGCGAATTAACCATACACCCTTAAACACGCTCTCTTTTACCGTGAAATCAGCAAAAAAAAAACCGTAGTTTTCTACGACATTTTACCACCTTATCTTTATACAATATTACTTTACAGAAGTAGTCAGTTCATCTCAACTCTGGTCAGCAGGGCAATTATTAATTCCTTTTTTAAGAAAACTCCAAACCGGCAATTTTCGAACGGAAACCGGGTAAGTTCCCTAACGGGACAACGGGAATGCTCCCTTACGGGGTAAATATTTCAATTATTGTAAAACGACTTTCCCTAAAGGTAATTTTTATAATATCATAACGAATTAATAAAATAATCAAAAATGCCAAAACCAATAATATTTAAAATACATTCGCCACTAGCACAAATAACTTTAATAGGATATAGTCGTCCTTTTTTAAATCTTTAAAAATTTAAAAAGAACAAGAAAGGAAAGCTAACTTCGGGCGGAGCCGATGTTGATATACCCTTGCAGAATACTCTGTAAATTATATTCTCCAAAATTATTCATATGATGCATTCTGAATACTCAATCGTTCAGTTATATGGCAGCTATAGGATATAGTCGGCCGATCCTCATGAAGTTTGGTAGGTTGGATTGATTGGCCAAAAAAAAAACCCATAGAAAATCCCAACTTCCTAACTTAACAAACACCAAAGTTATGGCATTTCCGATCAATCAGTTATATGGCGGCTATAGGATATAGTCGGCCGATCCTTATGAAATTTGGTCGGTCAGATTGATTGACCAAATATAAAACCCATAGAAAATCCCAACTTCCTAACTTTACAAACACCAAAATTATGACATTTCCGATCAATCAGTTATATGGCGGCTATAGGATATAGTCGGCCGATCCTTATGAAGTTTGGTAGGTTGGATTGATTGGCCAAAAATAAAACCCATAGAAAATACCAACTTCCTAACTTAACAAACACCAAAGTTATGGCATTTCCGATCAATCAGTTATATGGCGGCTATAGGATATAGTCGGCCGATCCTTATGAATTTTGGTCGGTCAGATTGATTGGCCAAATATAAAACCCATAGAAAATCCCAACTACCTAACTTTACAAACACCAAAGTTATGGCATTTCCGATCAATCAGTTATGGCAGCTATAGGATATAGTCGGCCGATCCCGTCCGTTCCGACATATATATTGCGTGCAAAGGAAAGAAGGGTGTGTGCAAAGTTTCAATTCGATAGCTTTAAAACTGAGAGACTAGTTTGCGTAGAAACAGACAGACGGACAGACAGACGGACAGACGGACATGGCTATATCAACTCAGGAGGTGATCCTGATCAAGAATATATATACGTTATAGGGTCGGAGATGTCTCCTTCACTGCGCTGCACACTTTTGACCAAAATTATAATACCCTCTGCAAGGGTATAAAAAAGGAACATTTTGCCAAATTTACTAAATTTTCACATTCAACGCCCTTTCTCCTTTTTAAAATCTTGGTTTACACACAATGTATTGTTCGTTACGATAACATCCCTGACTTATTACATCAGACATGTACTGCAGTCCATAGTGACATGGTAATATCGTCAGATTTTTTAAAAACGTGTTACTTAGTCTTAAAATAAAACTTTGAGATTACAGATAATGATAATATTGTAAATTTGATCGGATGTTTAACACGCCACCATGTTAAGTATTCTTGATCATTATTAATTCTTAAGCATTACCTCCCGAGTCAATAAAGAATTGATCGGACCATAATCTGCATTAAATAACTTAGTTTATGAAAATTTGTTTGAATGTGTCATTAACATGTTCTTCCATTATCTATATTTTTGAGCACATCTCTTTCGCTATACCAAAATTTGATTATATGCCTTAAAACTTAATTATTTATTTATAATTTATTTTATGTGTTAAATTTGAAAATCACCCAGATTGGACGATTCTGCTGCCATAAAATTTGGAACATTCGTAAAATGATAATTTTTAATTGTAGCGAGTGTTTCAAAAATCGGTAAGATTTCGGTATGTATAAAGGGTGCACTAAAAAAGTGAATATATATTTTAATCGAAATCGTTTCCAAAAGCTCGGCTATAATTGTTAAGGCTCTAATAACTCTCTATGGGACAACGCATCAATTATAGAACAAATAACTTTAAGATATTAACTAAATTTGTGGAAGCCGAATTCTTATGTTTATGATTATTTATGTTCGACACAACATATAAATATTTCAGATTTAATTTAAATGTTTGACACACGATTAATTTTATTCAAGTAAGCCATATTTCTTAAAAATATATATTATAAAAAAATAGTTTTCTAATAATTGTTGTGTTTTTTTCTTACCTCTGCGTTGTTAGAAATGGTGTGGCAACAGTAGTTAGACCTAAGGAATAACTAGTATCTGGTATACTTCGCTTGGTTGTAGAGGTTGTTCCATATGCTACTTTTATTAAAACAGCTGCAACACTACGCTCAAAGTTATTTAACTTTTCCAAATAATCCTTTTGGACTATAGGGGAGGTACCAGCAATCATGTTATTTCCAGTGCTATTGCTCAAGTTACCGTATTCATTAGACTTTTCCTGCGAAATGGTTCTGTTGTTCCTCGAACTTAATTCTTCTAATAATATAGACTGGGTCAAACAAATTTGGTGAACAGCAATCAAAAGCAGAAATAAAATGAGGGCATGATGGCGTCGAGGTAAAAGCATTTTTCGAGACAAGAGAGCGATTAAATCGTGTTTTAATACTGATGAAGGGTTTGTTGTGGCGCTTGTGGGTTGAGTCCAATCTCTCCTTACTTTTTTTTCAATTTTATTTTTATGTTCATGGTGGTTTCCTAAATTAAAAAAAAGTCTGTAAAAATTCGAACATTATTAATAACACTTACCTATTCCCGAAAAATCACGCTTCTTAACCTTAATTCGAAAGCTATGGTCCGTTTTAAGCATGATATTGTACTTTTGAATGTGACTCCGACCTTATATTAGTGGTTATTTACGGAGGGCATTGTTTTAACATGGCATTTGCTCAATACGGATGGCTGATGTTACATGCAATAAAAACATTGTAGTTGTGGGAACCTAAAAAAAAATATATTATATTAAATATATTATTATATATGTACATATATATATTTATAGTTAAATATATATTTATTTACATAAAGCTAGCTTAAGGTTTAAAACTAAAAACTAAAGTCATTATCAAGGATGGTCATACCTCTTGTATAAGATATCAGTATACGTTTTTTAAGAAACTGAGAAGAATTATAATGATTTTAGCTTTGTTCTCTTTGGAAGGGTATGCTAGGATAATGTCTGGCCTGTCGGAAAGGAAGCTGTAGCTCTATGTTTGGAGAGGGAAGGGCAGGAGATTTAGATCGAGGTCGTGATTTATTGTGGGCTGGTGGAAAATTACCATATATATGGGAAAATTTCATTCCATGTTAAAATTCATTTCAATAATTCTGCAGTTTGCAACGTTAAAGGGTATTTTTACTTAATACTTCTTGGATTATTTGGGATTCTTTTTTTGTGGGATTGGATAAGGCTTGGTTGGATTTGGTTTATGTTGTGTGTCTGCAGTCGCTTAGCCGATATGTGGCTAGGTACCCAGATTATAAAGGTTTTTGGGAAGCGATTTAAAAATAGATTTCGGATATATAGTTGGAGTTTTTGTTAGAATTGGTGACGGAGGTGATGGAGGAAAGCGAGTCAGACTCGATCGAAAGCTTGAGATACATCGAGATATATTGCGCTGCATTATTCCCGACGCTCGAAGGCTGTGGTTTTGATGTTGTTCTTTTATCTAGTTCGGTTGGTCAATGGCTTTGACGGAAGCCAAATTTATGTCCCGGGATATCATTGTGTGCTTCCAGATATGTTATTATGCGTGCTAGAAGGCATTTTTCGGTTTCAGAAACCCGTCAGTGTGTGTAAGTGTTCATGTTTTTAATAATTTAAAGGCGCATTGTTATTACTCGTCGCATGCGGTTTTTCTACTCCTTGTAGACCACACAGCACCAATAGTTTGCCGTGTGATTTCCTCCGCAGTTTTCACATTTCTTCTTTTGGGGGTCATCCGTGTTGGCAGGGCAGTTAGCGGAATTGTGAAAGACTCCACAAACTACACAGACTAATCCAAGTGTCCAGTATGTCCTGGTTTGGCCATACTACTGACAGTTTGTGCATTTCCCTGGGCATTTACAATTGGCAATCCTTGCTGCTTTTCAGTTGGTACGTGTAATAGTTTTTCGTAGCTTCCTCCAAATCTTCAGATTTGGTTTAAAGTTTGGTTTCGTGAATATTCTCTTTAGTGATCGGAACAAAACTTTCACTTTTTTTGTAATACACCAGTTTAGTTTTTATATTTTAATACATCCATTTTCTTCAACTTTTCCCGTAGCGTGCACGAAACAATTTCCCTCTTTTCGGCTTTTAGTGCAGCCGAATTGAACTTGAGGGATGTGAGAGTTCAGAATATTATTGAGTTGTAGAATTTTGACTTTTGGTTTTTACCATACAGTAGGAGATTCTAACCATTCCTCGGTGGCACCTTTGGGAGAGTCGAGTGCAAACAGTAGTTCTATTAGGCCTATGTGTTTTTCTATTTCTAGAGCTGAGTGGCATGGAAGTAAGTTTGTAGTGAAGTTGATAAGGCTCTTATTTTATCTGAATGTAGAAGAGAAATTTAACTTCTCAACTTCTTCACCGAAAGTGTTTGCTATTTATGATGGATTAAGGTTAAGAAGTCCCCATTTTTATACCCTTGCAGAGGGTATTATAATTCTGGTCAAAAGTGTGCAACGCAGTGAAGGAGACATCTCCGACTATATAAAGTATATATATTCTTGATCAGGATCACTTTCTGAGTTGATATAAGCATGTCCGTCTGTCTGTTTCTACGCGAACTAGTCTCTCAGTTTTAAAGATATCGAACTGAAACTTTGCACACACCCTTCTTTCCTTTGCACGCAGTGTATAAGTCGGAACGGCCGGGATCGGCCGACTATATCCTATAGCTGCCATATAACTGATTGATCGGAAATGCCATAACTTTGGTGTTTTTTAAGTTAGGAAGTTGATATTTTTTTTTTATATTTGGCCAATTAATCCGACCTACCAAATTTCATAGGGATCGGCCGACTATATCCTATAGCTCCCATATAACTGAACGATTGGAAATTCCATAGCTTTGGTGTTTGTTAAGTTAGAAAGTTAGGATTTTTTATGACTATTAAGAATGCATCATATGAATAATTTTGGAGAATATAATTTACAAAATATTCTGCAAGGGTATATCAACTTCGGCTCCGCCCGAAGTTAGCTTTCTTTTCTTGTATTAACTTGAAATATCAATTTTTGAGTTTTTCCGGCTCGAGGTCAACAATTGTAAAATTTTAAATAAAAGTTTTTAAATTTTATTTTTTATTTTTTCCGATATATTTCGGTTGCACTTCGGCAACCGTCTTCAGGGCAACTATAATCAACATAAAAACACATAAAATAACATAAATTTAGACAATAAAAAAACAAAGCTTTAAAAATTATTACACCTACATAATTTTACACGTCTGCACCGTCGGACGTGGAGATTAATACTAGTTGTCATTAAGTAAGTGTCTGTAGATGTGAGCGCAATTTTCAACGTCTGTTTTGTAGTTCAGTCTTATGTTTGTGGGTGTGTTTGTTATATGTAACATTTCTATGGTGAAGCGTTTTTTGAAATGTTGTTCTTGTTCCAAAATAGTCGTTGCTTCAAAATTTGGTGAGTGACCGCTGGTTTTACAGTGGGCCATAAGTGCTGTTTATTGTATATTAGCTTGGTGTCTTAATTTGAAGTCTGATCTGTGTTGTGATATTCGAGTTTTTAGTTTGGATTTAGTTGTTCCTACATATATACTGTCACATTTTTCATTTATATCTCCATTGCATGGTATTTTATATACAACATTGTTTTTGTCAAACATTTGTATTTTGGACTTGGTCTTGTTGAATATTGGTCGTAGGGTATTGTTGGGCTTGTGTGCTATTTTTTATTTTTTGTTTATTGTAAAATTCTGACTTTTTAGGGCGTTCTGATAGTCTTGGTATATATGTTACGGACATGTATTGTGTAGGTTCTCTACATTTTGTTTTTTGTTCCATGTTTTGGTTACTTTTAATTAATGTTCTAATTAGATGGTTAGGGAAGTCGTTGTCCTTTAAAATTTATCTTATTTCATTTTTGGTTTCTTCATGAAAAATTTTGTCCGAAATGGCTGGCATCCGTTGTATACAACCTACTGCTGTACTGATAATCATTGTTTTAGGGTGTTTTGAGTTAAAGTTGATGATTCGTCCTGATGCTGTTAGTTTTTTATACCACTTTAGTTTTAGAATGTTCCCCTGTCAATGAACCATTGAGTCCAAATATACTAGTCCTCCTTCTTCTTCCTGTTCCAGTGCGAATTTTATATTTTTATTGAAAGAGTTTAAAGCGTCAAGTGTGTTTTGTATTTCGTCTTATTTTACTATTGCGAATAAATCATCCACATACTTCGTCAAAAGTCTTGGTTTGTGTCCTAGTTTTTTCAAAGTGTTGTCTAATAGCTCTTCCATTACTATGTCCGCAATTATTGGTGAAGCAGGGGATCCTATCGGCATTCCTTTTAGTTGTGTATATATCGTCATTAAATTTAAAATATCTCTTGTCTTGTATGCAAAATTGTACTATGTCCATAAACATTTTTTTCGGCATATTTGTATGTTCTTTTATTTTTGTCCATTTTTCTCTAATTGTGTCTAGTGGAAGGTCTATAGGTATGCTGGGAAATAGTGAGACTACATCAAATGATATTAATTATACCCGTTACTCGTAGAGTAAAAGGGTATATTGTATTCGTGCAAAAGTATGTAACAGGTAGAAGGAAGCGTTTCCGACCCTGTAAAGTATATATATTCTTGATCAGGATCACTAGCCGAGTCGATATAGCCATGTCCGTCTGTCTGTCCGTCTGTCCGTCTGTCTGTCCGTCTGTCTGTCCGTATGAACGCTGAGATCTCGGAAACTATAAAAGCTAGAAGATTGGCATTTTGCATGTAGATTTAGTTCCTACGCAGCGCAAGTTTGTTTCAAAATGGTGCCACGCCCCCTTTAACGCCCACAATCGCTTATATACGATTTTAAAAATTTAAATATTTCGGAAAAGTAAAAATGCAGTTTTATTGTGTTTATCAATACCTAACGAAATGTAGAAGAAATTTTTAAAATCGGACCATTCGTTAAAAAGTTATGCGTGATCAAAGTTTCTATCTCCATCTCCCTCGCACTCCCTTTACCTGAGTAACGGGTATCTGATAGTCGGGGCACCCGACTATAGCGTTCTCTCTTGTTTTGTCTTGTAGTTGTGCTGTTCATTTTGTTTATTTATATGGCTGCGTGTTGTTTTTATTGGATTTTGGTCTTTTACTTGTTTTTCATTTAAATTCTACTGAGTTTTTGATGTTGTAGTTAGAGTCTATGGTGATGTTCTTTATATGTTTGAAATATATTTACAAAGTCCGTGTGATGGTGATCCAATAGATGAGCATATGGGTCTTAATGGAGTCCCTTCCTTGTGGATTTTTGGTAGTCCGTATATGCGTGGTGGTAATGCCGTTGTCGTGACTAACTTATTCCTTTCGCTCCGTGAAATAAGTCCTTTTGTGCATAGATTTTCCGCTAATTCATTGTTTTTTGTTTGAAGTTTCGATGTTATATCCTTTCGTAAAATCCGATATGTGTTCCTGTCCTCCAAAATGTTATTCATTTTTTGATTGTAAGTATCTTTGTCCATAGCAACTGTCTTGTTTCCTTTGTCAGAAGTTAAAATTAGTATTTCATTTTCCTTTAAAAATTTTCGTGTCTGCCCCACTGTGTCTAGTACTGCGCGATCTATTGCACTTTCCCGAACCGACGTCATATAATCTTTAATAAGTAAAGAGAATTTAGTGCGTGACTCTTCTTGTTGCTCTTTACCTGTAAGAGTTTGCACCAATTCCTCTCCGTCCGCTATATACTTAAAGAGAGGGAAATTCTTCTTCTCTATTGGTATCGCGAACTTTGGACCCTTTGCAAGAAGTGCTTTCACGTGGCGGGAACTCCACATTCGTTTTTTTTGACAAACCAATCGTTCGATTCGTTGTTGTTCGTGAATATATTATTCCGTTCCTTTTGTAGTTTTCTATACTTCCTCTCATGTCTCTCTTTTAATGTTGTTGTTAGTTTATTCGCGACATTTCTCTCGCTCTTTATAAACGTTTGTTAGTCAGCTGAGTTTAACTGCCTCTCCAGAATTTCTTTGGTGTCCTTTACCTTTTTGCTTAGTTCCTTCATTAAGTCATGTTTGTGTTTTATTATAATGTTTAGTACTTTTTTGTGGAATATATGTGAATGTCTAGCTAAAGCTCTTATAATGTCTGGATGTGTTACATTTAGTTGTATTCTTTAAAAAATTTGGAATTAACTGGGACTTTCTGCATTTTTCCAAAAAGATAATACCAGCTTTTAATTTCACTTGTTTTTTATGTTGTCTGGAATTTGCTTATTATGTCCTTGTAGTTGTTATAGTGGTTTTTAATATGCGTATATCCCATATCCCATATCAAAATCTTGTTTTTTGAATAAATTTTGAACGGATCATTTTAAGTGGGATGTCACTCGACGCGTATTTTTGACAAGAACACGACTAGCTCAAATTGTCGCTTTTACCACTGTTTATCCAATTCATCGCCAATTAATTTTCTTAAAGCTTTGGTATGCACACAATTTTTTTTTGCGATACTTTTCTATTGCTAGTTTTGATTGAACCATGTCAACTAATTTTCGATTTTCTTGTAATGTATCTCTCGATTAGCGGATTAAATATTTTACTTTTTAAAAATTATTGCCTACTCCCATTGCGCAAAGGCTTACACTTTGCTGTCAAAAAAAGCGTTCCAATTTTAGGATTTAGTTAAAAATACATAATCCAATGGTGTTTACCATTACTAATGCATAAACAAACTAAAAACCATAATACTACCATCCTAAAAATTACACATGTCAATTTTGAATTTTGGCTCAAATAAGCTGTAATGTTGAGTCTTGATGGGTTTTATAATTCTTCATATATTTTAAAGATAGTTTTTTTAAGAAAAAAAACAACCCCATATTTAAGTTACATTTACCCCTGCAGAGGGTGTTATTGTTTTAGTCAAAAGTTTGCAACGCAGTGAAGAAGACATTTCCGATCTTGTTGTTTCTAGCTCTGTATTAGGGACAAGGGAGCATATTCTTCTTCCGATTTCGTTTTGGGATCACGTGTTATTAGCAGACGAGTCAAAATGTAACCATTTTGGTTCAATATGTTTGGCGGCGACACAATTCAGAGCTCGAAAACAAACTCCTGAAAGCTACAGTCAAGCATGGCTGGGGTCATGTTATGGTTTGGGCCTGTATGGTAAGTTCTGGCGGGGCACCCTCGTTTTTATTGACGGGATCATGGATTTTAAAGGAAAACGTGCTGCAAACTGGTGAAAAACTGGGCATACGCGATCGATTTCGGTATTACCAAGATAACGACACTAAGAACTACGCTGGAATTGTCAAGACTTGGCGAATATGAAACTGCCCCTACGTAATCAGTACGCCAGCACAATCACCGGATCTTAATCTTATCGAAAATCTGTGGGAAATTTCGGACCAGTCTATTCGGAAGAGAAAGATTTCCAATAAAAATTACTAAAAAGTGTCTTAACGGGGAATAGAACCAAATTACCGAACCAGATTAAAAGCCATCAGTAAGCAGAAAAAGGGGGCGCAACAAAAAATTAAATTTAAGAAATTAAATTGTTATTACATTTTTAGCCCCTTCTCCGAAATAAGCTTTGAAAAATAGCCCATTTTTGGTTTTATTGGAATTATTGGTTTCCTTTAATATTTAAGAGTATGGTTTTTCGTTCCTTTAATATATTAAGTGTTTCTCTAAAATAGTGCATTTAAATTTTTGGAATATCCTTGCTGGTTAAGGTCGATTTGAAATTTCAGTTTAGTATTGTACGAAATAAGCTTTGAGCGACTGTATATATTAAAGTTTAAGGTTTTTATATATGGTGTAAATACTTATATAAAACTAAATGTCTACATTGCTTACAAACGAACAAACGGATTACAGCGTTGCGTACTTATTAAAAATACATGCACAATACATCTTTTATATTACTGAATTTCAAACTTCTTATTTTTTGGTAGTGTACAAATATACAACCAGATATCTACTTAAACATTGGAGTGGATATTATAACAATGTTTCAGAAAAGTGGTTAACATTAAAGATTGAATTCTACTCAAATAAGCAACTTGATTTTAAAAGCAATGTGGATAAAAATGCCCAAATCTTTTTTAGTTGCTTATGTGTGTACATACATACATATGCATAGTCCCAAATATGAAAACACAAGATAAGTTGTTAATTGTTTATATAGTCAATATTTGGTATCAGCAAAAAAGCATATTATTTAGCAATTAACGATATATTTCTTTATTTCCGTATTTGAAAACGCCTACAAACGAAATGCACAGTTTTTACATGTAGAAATTGAACATTTTTTTTTTGCAGCACTTTGTTTATATTCAAAGATAATTAAATTAAGATGTATATACAAGAAATTACCTATTAACCTCCATGTCTTGCAAATATATCGGTTTTTAAGATGTTTTATATATGTATATCCATAATGCACAAAAAAATATGCATGCACACATGCACAAAACTAGTTATTGGCTTTTTCACTTCAGATTGAACAGAATATATATGTATACATTCAGATGTGTACACATAAGCAACAAAGTTATGTATACCTGGGGTACACGACTGGAATCAAAAGCAGTTTGAATAACCAATGAATGTTATTATATTTCATAATATTCCATTTTCGCTTTTAACACAATATTTAATATCAATCACAAAAACAATTTAGTTTATTATGACGTCTCGACTTTTCACTATATGCAACACATCTACAAAATGGCGGATATAAAATCGATCAATAATCGGTAACACCGATATATACATTTCTTCATGCTCTGAAAACGTTCTTAATACTTATAATTCACAGAGCACATCTAGTTGCATGCATTTGGACAGATGTAAAACTTAAAATCCCACTGAGCACCTTTGAACAGAGCAGCGAGCAGATTTTTAAATTTTAAACATATCAAACTTCTTTCAGCATACCGTTTTTAGTTATTAGTTAAACGCCATGTAATAAACAACGCTTTACTAAGTTTAAATAATGGTTTAAAATGGTTTTCTTTTACAAGTTAGGGATTGCATGGTAAATGGTCTGTGATCTGTGAATTTGAATATAACGTGAGATTAATTTTTATCACGCAAAATACCCGTTTACCTATAAAAACTCTAATAATTGCGTTTGGATGAAGTAAAACAGCTGCTTATTATTTTGATTTTTAAATGACCTAGCAACATAAGGGAAAACTGGGGTAGAGCTCGCTTGAATAAAATACAATAACAAAACATTTACCGTGGTGGAGGGATATTCCGAATATTAAATGTTCATCGAAAGAACTCAAATTTGGTCATATTGACACAAAAAGCGTTTATTAGGAAACACTTTATTAGGGTGTGGTAAATCCAAATATTTGACATTCTCTAGCGGAAAAATTTTAATCTTTCCAGTGTGACTGCATTTTTGAGAGTTCATCAATATTAGGCGTGCTACGGTCAATCAGCTGGGTTGACAAGCAGTTAATATTCAAAAATCTTATTTGCGGTAAAGAGTCTTTAAATGATATTCTCACTACCTTGGACTACCCAAGACAAGTCTGCCGCTGTACAAAGAAATTAAAAAACAATACAATTTCAATTTAACAGTTGTTTTATTTTTAATTACTGATAATTATTTGGTAATTTAGGGATCATAGCTGCCATTAGTTCTTGGAGGCGATTTTTCTGGGTTTTCTTTTGTGTTTTGTGCAAAGGTGGACCACAAGTTCAAACTTGTGGAGATAGCGCTTGAGAAAGGCTGGATAAGCAGCGAGATCATGTCATTGAATTGAGCTTGGCTGTCTGCCATCCTTAACATTTAAAATAAAATGAAATATGAAATTATAATAAAAAAATTATAATAAAATGGATTTGTTACCATTAAGACAATATTGGGCAATTGCTACTCATATTTTTTCTGCAGGCTGGCAAACAATTCAGTCCGATATGTATCAGTTATAGCGCTGTTGTGCTCATATTAAATGTTGTGCAAAATGCAACAGACTAAAATGATTAGACACAGTTGTTCAGATCAGCTGTTGTCGGATGGTGGATGTGCTCTGTGGGAATCGGAGTTTCACATTTGTCAAGAATCCCAACCGTTTCAGACAGATGGACTCTATGGGAAGAGGGCTTTAGGTTCAGGCCACCCAATGTTCATTTCAGCAGACTGGCAACGCTATGCAATTTTCTGTTATTCTGAGTACCGGGTTGAAAAAGAGCCTGACGAAAAGTGTTCGCCAGCTGTTTGCCTCTCGCTCTCTCTCAAAGCTGTCGAACAGACTCGTCGATCTGAGTCCATGGTTTATATATATAACACATGGATCAATAAGTCCCGAGACTAACCCAGAGATTTCGCTCGTAGTAAACCAGAAACCAGGTTTTTCTTTACTTAAAGCGTGTTAATTTTAAGTCGATCGGACCAGAAACAGCTGAGTTATCGAGGTTGGATTAAAGACGTTTTGTAGTTTGTTAAAAAAATGGAAAAAAACCGAATTTCGTGTTTTGATAAACATTGTTTTTTAAAGGGCAAAAACACCGTGCAAGCGAAACAATTGAAAAATGTTACCCGGACTCTTGTCCATCAAAAGTAACGATTTGTCGGTGGTTTGCCGAGTTTAAACGTGGTCGTACCGTTACAAACGACCCCGAACGCTCGGGTAGACCTGTGAAAGAAAAAAATTATAATGAAAGATCGTAAAGTAAAGCTCCGTGAGATTGCTGAGATGACACAGGTATCATTTGGAAGTGTATTCCAAGTGGGTGCCGCGATAGCTTTTTCAGCAAAACAATGCACCCTGCCACAAGTCGATGAAAACAATGGCAAAATTTAACGAATTGTGCTTTCATCTGCTTCTCCACCCTCTCTCTCCTCTCACCCTAAAAGGTGATTATGTTGATGAATAAAAACAAATTTTGCAAAAAAATGCAGGCACCATCCGCTCGCAGAACAACAACCAAAGCTGATTTGGATTGAAGGTTTCTCAACCACTAAGCGCAGACACCGACTGCGATGTGCCCTTTTCCTATCTCATTAGATTGATTTATGCTAAACATTTTTCTGCTACCACTGATTTGAATTTGTAAACCAAAATGAAATATATGCGGAATTATTAAAAAATATACTATAACATATAATATCCCTATTTTTATCATTAACCCAATAATAAATACGCCCGTATTGTTAGGGTATCAAGTCTGAAAAGTACCAAAAGACTAAATGTTCTTGTCGCATCGAATTGAAATAAACGCACACAAGCACCCCCGTATGAGAATGCATAAACACGCATACATATAAGGACCAATTCAAGAGCAGGCGCAACCTTCTTCAAAATGCGCGTCTCTGCGACTGAACGACCGAACTCGTGCAATGAGTGCGCGAGCATCAAAATGAGAATAAGAATGAGAGCGCAAAAAACCCGAAGGCATACGAAGTGTCCGGGCCCTGCCGCTACCAGCTGTGGGGCCTCCCGCTTTGAAACTTTTGTGACCATTTTCGTTGTATGAAATGACCAGTCTATATGTTGTATGGTTAGTGCTTAAGCCTAGTATCCACTTCGACGTAAACCGTACGCCAGTCATGAGAGAGAGCGAGAGGCAAACAGCTGGCGTTCAGTTTTCGTCGGGCCTTTTTTTCACGTCGGTCTCCTGATCGACGAAAAAAATACCAGAAAATTCCATAGCGTTGCCAGTCTGAGGAAACGTGAACCCTAGCGAAAAGATTAAAAAATTTAATCTTTTGGCGTGCGCTTCTCACTGAACATTATAAGAAATGGAGGGAAAAACTCAAAAAACTCGCAAAAGTCGATTGCAGGTGTTTATATGTGAGGAGAAAATAACATTAATACTATCTGGGGTGCCTCTTGTCAGAGCTAAATGTTTTTTAGGTCCAGAATGTACGAAAAAACACAATAAAAGTGCACCTATGAACTTTAAATTAGCAAATAATTATCAGTACATTAAAAAAAACAACTGTTAAATTTAAATTGTATTGTTTTTTAATTTCTTTGTACAGCGGCAGACTTTATATCTTTTAAAGGCTTTTTCCCGCAAATACGATGTTTGAATTTTAACTGCTTGTCACCAAACCCAGCTGATTGACAGTACGACCATAGCACTCTTAAATCTGATGAACTCTCAAACTTTTGGTCACACTGGAAAGATTAAAGTTTTTACGCTAGCGTAATCGTTTGTCGATCTGGATACTAGGCTTTACAGTCAGATATTGATTGTTTTCATGGATGGTGTGAGTACAACCTTTTAATTTTGAACTATCTTAAATGCAACGTTAAGACCTTTTATAGGGATACTCCTACGTTTATCATCGTCCCCACTCGACCGTATATACTCAGTTAACGATTTAGGTGTTCTTCTGGACCCTAAACTTAAATTTGACTGCCACATAATATCCACTGTTAACAAAGCCTTGAGCGTTCTTGGGTTTAAAAAACGTTGGTCAAATGAATTTGATGACCCTTATACGGCCAAATTATTATTTACCTCCCTTATCCGTCCTATTTTGGAATATTGTTCGTCGGTTTGGAGTCCACAATATCAAGTGCACATTGACCGTATTGAGTCGGTACAAAAAAATTTCTTCTATTTGCCCTTTGTAGTTTGAACTCGGATCAAAACGTAAGGCTATCTTCCTACCAGAGTAGATTACTGTTGCTTAATTTACCTACACTTGTAAATCGTAGAACAATGCTTTAGCAAAATCTTATAAGAGGTGATACTTTCAATTTTCCTGTTAGACTAACACGAAATTATTATCCTCTAAATTTGCCACGATGTACATCAAATTTTTGTCTGCACGAGCCCTTTCGCGTTCTATGTAATAACTATAACAACCTTTATCATTTAATTTGCATTTTAACTTCTATCCCGGTGTCTTGTCTCTATTTATTTTATGGATTTTCCTCGCGAACTCGCATTTTTTGCCCAAATTGAAAATAGGACCCGCGCGTAACAAGCACGTGCTTGGTGTCGTTGGGCCACTTGTTTGTACTGCTCGAAGTGCATCAACGTCCATCATATATTTAATGTGGAAGTCCTTTTTCATGTAGTAAATGACAATTACCTTAAGTACGATATTATAATTGGTCGAGAAGTATTGCAGCTAGGTTTTGGTGTAATGATTGATGCTAACAAATTCACAATGATAATGATAAGTTAATATTAAGAACTATTTTAAATAAATTATCAGATCGATTTATAACTGGCATGCCACACAGTCGTATAACTACAGGAGAATTAGAAATTCGTCTAATTGATGAACATAAGACAAATACGTCCGTATAGATTAAGTGTAGAAGAAAAACTAATAGTTAGGGACAAAATTCAACAAATGATTGAAAGCAATGTCATCCGACCAAGTAGCTCTCCATTCGCTAGTCCTATTCTTTTAGTTAAAAAGAAATATGGCAGTGATAGACTATGCATTGATTTTCGCGAGTTAATTTCGAATACGGTGTCTGATAAGTATCCATTGCCATTATCATCAGATAGATAAATTACGTGGTAGTAAATACTTTAGCAGTTTAGACATGGCCTGAGGATTTTATCAGATACCTATTCACACTGATTCCATCGAGAAAATAGCTTTCGGGCAGGCCAATACAAATTCCTTGCTATGCCATTCGGTTCGAAGAACGCTTCGTCAGTATTTCAAAGAGCGATAGTACGAGCCTTAGATGATGGCATACTCGTATGCAATTGTTTATATTGATGATGTGTTAATAGTCGCAAACTCCAAAGAATAAGCTTTTACAAGATTGAAAGATGTGCTTAAAGACTTGTCAGGTGCCGGATTTTCATTTAATATAAAGAAGTGCACACACTTCAAGACAGGAATATAGTATCTCGGGTTTTATATTAAAAATGGCGAAATCAAGCCCAATCCTAGAAAAATAGAAGCTCTATCCGCATTAAGACAACCAACTACTGCCACGCAGTTAAGACAATTTATAGGTTTGGCTTCATATTTCAGACAGTTTGTTCCGCGATTTTCTGAACAGATGACACCATTGTATCAGCTAACTTCTAAGGTAAATGGATTTGTTTGGAAGGATAATCACGAACAAATATGTAACAGGATTATTGATGTGTTGATAAGTGACCCGGTGCTGACCATATTCAACCCTGACCTTCCGGTCGAATTGCATACAGACGCCAGCGCAGATGGCTACGGTGCAATGCTCCTTCACAGGATTGAAGGCAAATGTAGGGTGATCGAATGTTTCAGCAAGTGTACATCGGCTTCAAAATCAAAATATCAGTCATATGAGCTAGAGAGTCCTATTACGACATCCAATTCCAGAAACCTTGAAAACGTAAACAAAGTAGTTGAGGTTCGCGTTGACTTGGCAGTGATAACGGATAATTGGCTAATCGCTGAACAACAGAGGGACTTAGGTATAGTTGATATCATAACACAATTAAATGGAAATGAGATGCAAGTTGACAGAGCAAAAAAATAAGAGCCGGATTGTTGTATCGCAAAATTCAAAGAAGTGGTAAGACTCGTTGCTTACCAGTGATTCCGAAAGCCTGTAGGTGGTCGGTCATTAATCATGTGCACGAGGCTATAATGCATCTTGGATGGCAGAAGACTCTTAACAAAGTCTATGAACAATACAACCTGTAAGCTCTCAAAACCCTCAACAGGCAAGGTACAAACGGAACTGCAACCCATTCCTAAGGCAGAAATTCCCTGGCATACCGTACATATTGATATTAGTGGGAAGCTGAGCGACAAAAATGACTTAAATGACTTAGTACAAATAGACGCATTTACCAAGTATATTTTTCTCTATCACACCCTGAACTTGGATTCTGAAAATTGTATCAACGCAGTAAAGACAGGTATATCACTTTTTGGAGTTCCTAGCCGTATCATTGCAGATCAAGTTATGAGCATTGCTAGTGGTCGATTCCGTGACTTCTGTTCATCAAATAAAACTCAGTTACATATAATTGCAACAGGGGCAAGCTGGGCAAGCGACAAGTGGAGCGCGTGATGAGCACGTTGAAAGGAATGTTGACAGCAGTTGAGTCAAGCGAACGCTCTTGGTGGGATGCATTAATGGACGTCCAATTAGCTATGAACTGTACTATTAATAGGGTGACTAAGTTCAGCCCCTTAGAATTACTAATAGGAAAGCAGGTAAGACCTTGGTCATGTTACCTATAATAGGTGAATCTAAGATAGATTGTAAGGAAGATAGATTGTTTGTTGTAATAAAACTGCTTGAAGGTGATCGTTACCTATTGAAATCATTGACTAGTAAAAGAACATACATAGTATCCGCATGAGAGCTTGCGAAAATTACCAGATAAAGGAGTTGCATCTAAGTTGGTCGAAGAGAGTGATGGCGTTGAAATAGACGCAGAAGATGAGTTGAGATCTGTCACCTAAGAAGGGTGCACAGGACTTTACACACATAGGCTATGTTTGATCTAAAGAGAGATTTTGGCACTAAAGGTGCATATCGTCGCAAGTGGCGGCAAGATCCTGTACTGTGTGGTGATAAATTGTAAGCCAAATGGCTTGCGCAGAAAAGTGCAAGCTACTAATGAAAAAGATATATCCTGCCAAACTGTCATTGGAAGACACAAGAAGTGTATTGAGGGTTACAAAAAAAAGTCATGATTTCGGTTAATGAGTAACTTCGAATTTGTTTCAGATTAGCAAAATGTGATGCCAATCCAATGTTATGCCATGCACACGAGGACTCGTGATAGTCAGGATAGCCGTGTCGAGAGAATTAATAATAATAATAATTAATCTATCATTAAGCCTAGTACTCAGATCGACAAACGAGTAAGCTAGCGTAAAAACTTTATTCTTTCCAGTGTGACCAAAATTTCGAGAGTTCATCAGAATTAAGCGTGCGTATTTGCGGGAAAGAGCATTTTAAAGATATCATCAACCTCCTTGGCAAGACAAAACTGCCGCTGTACAAAGAAATTAAAAAACAAAACAATTTAAATTTCACAGTTGTTTTTTTAATTTACTGATCATTAATTGCTAATTTTAAGTTCATAGCTGTACTTTTATTGTGTTTTTTCGTACATTTTTGATCTAAGAAACATTTTGCTCTGACAAGAGGCACCCCAGATGGTATTAATGTTATTTTGTCATCACATGTAAACACCTGCAATCGACTTTTGCTGGTTTTTTTATTTTTTCCCTCCATTTTTAAAAATGTTCAGTGAGAAGCGCACGCCAAAAGATTAAATTTTGTATTCTTTCCGCTAACGTTCACCCAAAGTTCATTTCAGCAGACTGACAACGCTATGCAATTTTCTGGTATTTTTCGTCGATCTGAGTACTGAGGTGAAAAAAAGCCCGACGAAAAGTGAACGCCAGCTGTTTGCCTCTCACTCTCTCTCTCATGACTTTAGAAATAAAGAGTTGAGAGAAAGAAGTGTGACCTTCTGAGATGGTTTAAAGGTTTCAAGACCGTGGATAGGTGTGAACTCACCCTAGCCGAGTGTGGCGCAATTGTTGTTGCAATAAATTAAAATGACAAGTGACACAGAATGACAAGAACACGATAGAGTTGTGCAGAGTAGTGGAGTGTTCAGGACTCATTCTTTCGGGAACCTTCGAACGGGAAACACAAGCAATTGCCACCCGCTGCGCATCTGAAGCCTAGTACTCAGATCGAAAATTGTCCTCCAGTCATGAGAGAGAGCGAGAGGCAAACACCTGGCGTTCACATTTTGTCAACGTTTTTTTTCCCCTCGGTCCTCAGATCGAGGAAAAAATACCAGAAAATTGCATAGCGTTACCAGTCTGCGGAAATTAACTTTGTGTGAGCCCTCTCACTGAACATTATAAGAAATGGAGGGAAAAACTCAAAAAACTCGCAGAAGTCAATTGCAGGAGTTTACATATGAGGACAAATTAATATTAATACTATCTGGGGTGCCTCTGGTCAGAGCAAAATGTTTTTTAGGTCAAGAATGTTCGAAAAAACACAATAAAAGTGCAGCTATTAACTTGAAATTAGCAAATAATTATCAGTAAATTAAAAAAACAACTGTTAAATTTAAATTGTATTGTTTTTTAATTTTTTTGTACAGCGGCAGACTTGTCTTGCCAAGGTAGTTGATAATATATTTTATAGGCTCTTTCCCGCAAATACGAAATTTGAATTTTAACTGCTTGTCCACAAACCCAGCTGATTGACAGTACGACGGTAGCACGCTTAAATTTGATGAACTCTCGAAATTTTAGTCACACTGGAAAGATTAAAGTTTTTACGCTAGCATACTCGTTTGTCGATCTGAGTACTAGGCTTTAGTAAGAGAAGACAAGTTATAATAAAATCATGACGGACAAAATAACTTGCGAAGCGGCTAAGAGACCCCTATCTCCGACATATATATATATATATATATATATATTAATCAGCCTGCTAATCTCAAATCGGAAAGTCAGACAATTTCGATTTTCTGAGTCTAATCCTAAAAAAAAGTTGGTCAGAACAGAAAAAACAGCTATCTAGTCAATAAAATTTATGTGGAAATATAGTATAATCGCTATGAATCGATACATCGGGGATCATATAATGTTGTTGACATCCCTAGTGAAGTAGACGTATATACACTTTTTGTATATTGGGCAATTTAAATTTACGAAATAATGAAATTATTTTGAAAAAAACATCCGATTATGCACTTTATAAAGACTACTGAAAAATAACCGGTTACATACAATATTTAAAATTGCATTCTTTATGGTTCTGAGTTCTGTACGTAATTTGTTATAAGCCTGAGCCGTATTAGAGATAAAAATGGAAGGATTTGATGTGTCAGATAAAAGCAGGTAACGTAAATAACTACAAAATAACTACATTCATTGAATAAATTTTAATTACAAATATGTGCTCTTAATAGATGGTACTTTGGTCCCATGTCCCGACAAGATGCTACAGAAGTCTTGATGAACGAGCGTGAAAGAGGGGTATTTTTAGTTCGCGACAGTAACTCGATAGCAGGGGATTATGTACTTTGTGTACGGTAAGTGAACTATCTAATTATGTCTGCACATTAGGGAGGCAAACAAAAAATTGATATCGTTTAAATTAGAGCAACGAATCAAGACATGGAGAGCCAGAAAAATATGTTAGGGTTAAATGTAAAACTTAGTCGACTGCACCTGGATGAAAATAATTAAATTTAAATTTTAAAGTATAAGCTGGAATTTTATAAGTAGGAATTTTCACACAAATTTGGACCGAACTAATGTACATGTACACTTGTCACAATGTCTCTTTGTTCAGTTAAAAAAATATAAACCGCCCTTAACGATAACGATAAGTTAAAAATTGTTTTAGTTTTTCATATTTGTCTCCTTATTACTTAAACCTTTTAACAAACGTATTTTCTTAAAAATATTTACCAGTCCAAAAATTGTTTTTATATTGGTTTATTTTGTTTTTTCATTGGCCACTACAATATTTTAATTTTTCCTATTTAAAACCATTCAAAATATATTAAAAAGACAATTACCGATTTTTTATTGTGACTAAAGCCTAGTATCCACTTCGACGTAAACCGTACGCCAGTCATGAGAGAGAGCGAGAGGCAAATAGCTGGCGTTCACTTTTCGTCGGGCCTTTTTTTCACGTCGGTCTCCTGATCGACGAAAAAAATACCAGAAAATTCCATAGCGTTGCCAGTCTGCGGAAAATAACTTTGGGTGAACCCTAGCGGAAAAGATTAAAAAATTTAATCTTTTGGCGTGCGCTTCTCACTGAACATTATAAGAAATGGAGGGAAAAACTCAAAAAACTCACAAAAGTCGATTGCAGGTGTTTACATGTGAGGACAAAATAACATTAATACTATCTGGGGTGCCTCTTGTCAGAGCTAAATGTTTTTTAGGTCCAGAATGTACACTTAACACAACAAAAGTGCAGCTATGAACTTTTAATTAGCAAATAATTATCAGTAAATTAAAAAAAACAACTGTTAAGTTTAAATTGTATTGTTTTTTAATTTCTTTGTACACCGGCAGACTTGTCTTGCCAAGGTATTTGATAATATCTTTTAAAGGCTCTTTCCCGCAAATGCGATATTTTAATTTTAACTGCTTGTCAACAAACCCAGCTGATTGACAGTACGACCGTAGCACGCTTAAATCCGATGAACTCTTGAAATTTTGGTCACACTGGAAAGATTAAAGTTTTTACGCTAGCATACTCGTTTGTCGATCTGGATACTAGGCTTAAAGTTAAATCACACGATAGAAGTCATATCCTTGTATCCTTGGATAACTAATAAATAATGTTCATGGGCGTAAAAGTCCTGAAATAAAAAATAAGTAAGTAATCGTTTTATTCCTTTAGCTATTTCAGGCTATACTATGATTCTTATTTGATTCTTATTTTTATGTATGTCTAAAAACAAGGAAGTTATAAAATCTTTTATTTATTCGATCATTTCTATTTATTATATAGCTGAAACATCCGCGCGTTCCGCTTTAGAAATATGACTTGCGCAAAATATTTTGCATTGCCAATATCTTAAGAATATATTTTAACCGACAATTTAAATCACATCCGAAAGAATATTTTGCTGAGCAAGCAACTCTTTTTAAGAACAGATGGGCGTCTCTTATAAAAGTTAGCCCAAATATTGTGTTGTTCTTTATCTCAAAAATATTAAAGCTACAAAACACAAATGCATAATTTTAATTTATTTAAACCAATTTTAGATTTAATTTAAATAAATTGATCACCGATTTATTTAAACCTTTACTTCATTATTGAAAATGTGTCCTTCTTGGCGTTACAAACTTGTATTTGATTTTAAAATACCTTCTGAAAGTGAATAAACAGACAAATTTTTGAGTAATAAAATTGACCAATTTTTAACTCCCTAAAGAAGAAGTTTACTGGCAAGTGTACAACATAAAAAATATTTACACATAAATCCTATTTCATTTTTATTCAGAGAAGATACAAAAGTTAGCAACTACATCATTAACAAAGTTCAACAACAGGATCACATCGTTTACCGCATTGGGGATCAATCGTTCGATAATCTACCGAAACTATTGACTTTTTATACACTTCATTACTTGGATACAACGCCTCTAAGACGACCGGCCCTTAAAAAGATGGAAAAAGTAATAGGAAAATTCGATTTTGTTGGCAGCGTGAGCATACATTTACAATAATATTTTGTAATTGATGTTAATTTATTTAACTTTTTTAAAGGACCAAGATGACTTGCCATTTCAAAAAGGTGAAGTTCTCACAGTAGTTCGAAAAGACGAAGATCAGTGGTGGACTGCTCGTAATTCATCGGGAAAAATTGGGCAAATACCAGTTCCTTATATTACGGTGCGTAGAAGAATATTTCAACATCCCCGCTTACCACCGTCTTACCATTTTCAACATTATTAAGGCGCAGTATTAGCAAAAAAGAAAATCTGATTCGCACGATGTATCAGGAATACAGAAATATTTTTCTAACAGTTCCTTGAAAGGCTTCATATTTTCTGATCGCGTTGTACTTGTTTTTGCCTTTAACTTTTATTCCAGAATTTCAAAATAGGTTGCAATTGCATGCTCGGTAATCGCAAACAAATAATTAAACATTATAATTAACATTATAGGGAAAATGTAACAAATTACAAGCGTGTTTTTTTCTGCTTCTTATTTGAACCCCAGAAACATCAATAGTCAAAATTTACCATCGATGTTTTGGAAAATTGAATGTTGCTGCGCCTCTACTGCTTAAAGGGAATTTAAAAAATGTGACTGATTTTAAATAACTCCTAGGCATTAGGTAGTTTTTTTGTAAAAGACAGTGGCGTCGCACCCGCAAGCACAAAAATGTTATGCTTACTAGTGCCCGGTGGAACATCAAAACAACTTCTTAATACTGCATCTCGTAGCTTTATAAGTCTACTTGACATGAAACTTATAATCCAATCTATGAATACTTTGGGAATTAGGAATTCACTTAAAAAAATGTAAATTCACAAAGCTGTAAGCAGCTGGAAGATAAGCCAACAGAAGCTAATACAGCAGATTTCCTCCCTTTCCTTTCAAACTTTTATCACATCTTTAAACCTGTAATGCATAATTTATCATCATTTATTATCAAGTGCTAATCGAGTCTATTCTAGACCATGATTTTTAATATTTTTGCTAGCTCAGAAATATTTGTCGAAAATTTGCAATATCTGTTAAATCTTTTTTTGAGAATAGGCGTAATCTTAGTTGAACTCCATTCCACATTGCAAAAGGTGATTTCAAATCATTATACCCTTGCAGAGGGTATTATAATTTTGGTCAAAAGTGTGCAACGCAGTGAAGGAGACATCTCCGACCATATAAAGTATATATATTCTTGATCAGGATCACCTCCTGAGTTGATATAGCCATGTCCGTCTGTCCGTCTGTCTGTTTCTACGCAAACTAGTCTCTCAGTTTTAAAGCTATCGAATTGAAACTTTGCACACACCCTTCTTTCCTTTGCACGCAGTATATAAGTCGGAACGGCTGCCATATAACTGATTGATCGGAAATGCCATAACCTTGGTGTTTGTAAAGTTAGGAAGCTGGGATTTCCTATGGGTTTTATATTTGGCCAATCAATCCGACCTACCAAATTTCATAAGGATCGGCCGACTATATTCTATAGCTGCCATATAACTGATTGATCGGAAATGCCATAACTTTTGTGTTTTTAAAGTAAGAAAGTTGGGATTTTTTATGAGTATTAAGAATGCATCATATGAATAATTTTGGAGAATATAATTTACAGAGTATTCTGCAAGGGTATATCAACTTCGGCTCCGCCCGAAGTTAGCTTTCCTTTCTTGTTTTTAGATTAATTTGGGTATGGGTATGCAGAGGGTATAATAATTTCCTTCTTGATCTGTCCGTCTGTCTGTCTGTCCGTCTGTCCGTATGAACGCTGAGATCTCGGAAACTATAAAAGCTAGAGGATTGGCATTTTGCATGTAGATTCTAGGAGTTCCTACGCAGCGCAAGTTTGTTCCAAAATGGTGCCACGCCATATACATATGTATGTATTTACGTTGGATACAGTTTCAATTGCCCGCCAAAGATAACTCCTTTCAAAGAAAGCTATTCGCTATTACCGTTACTCGTGTTGTGGAAACATTTAGACTTTAATATTCATAATACTATTTAATACTTAATCTTATATTAAGTTGTTTAGCTGAGTAACGGGTATCTAATAGTCGAGGCACTCGACTATAGCGTTCTCTCTTGTTTTATTCTGATATTTGTGCGATGACGAGTGTCACACATCTTCGATCATTTTTGATCAAGCCATGCCCGTCCGTCCTTCAGTCCGTTTCTACGCAAACTAATACCTCAGTTTTAAAATTATTTGAATACAACTTATCGAGAAGTCTTATTTATGTTGCAAGTAGTTTATACAGTGGCACACAGTTTATTTCGTGCAGACGTAAACTTGAAATTTAAAACCATATAGCTAGCAAATTATACGGAATATGATAATGATTTAAATGCAGCTATGTTTGGTAGTATTTTGGCATTTATTAAGGCACTTCATTATTTTTAAACTACATTAACGCTTAAAAGTAAGAAAAACTAAAAATACCGAGTTTTTTTATGTCACAGCTTATTTTGTGCAAGGAACTTCATGTTAAATATATTGACTATTAAATAACTTAATACTTTGTGTGACCTCCCTTCTGTTTATTGACATCCTTTAATCGGGTTTGCATCGAACAAACCACCTTTTTTTTTGGTCTGCTTTGTAATCTTGGCCCATTCTTCCTCGCTTTTACCCTGATCAAGATATACAATGCGCCAAATATTCTGAAAAACATCAAATTTGGACCGATTTCACCCTATTATTCCTATAGGAGCTATAGAAAATATATGTCTGATCGGCACGCCCTTTTACCCTGATCAAGGTATGCATAAAAAAACAAGAGAGAACGCTATAGTCGGGTGCCCCGACTATCAGATACTTGTTACTCAGGTAAAGGGAGTGCGAGGGAGATGGAGATATAAACTTTGATCACGCATAACTTTTTAACGAATGGTCCGATTTGAAAAATTTCTTCTACATTTCGATAGGTATTGATAAACACAATAAAACTGCATTTTTACTTTTCCGAAATATTTAAATTTATAAAATCGTATATAAGCGATTGTGGGCGTTAAAGGGGGCGTGGCACCTTTTTGAAACAAACTTGCGCTGCGTAGGAACTCCTAGAATCTGCATGCAAAATGCCAATCTTCTAGCTTTTATAGTTTCCGAGATCTCAGCGTTCATACGGACAGACGGACATGGCTATATCGACTCGGCTAGTGACCCTGATCAAGAATATATATACTTTATAGGGTCGGAAACGCTTCCTTCTAGCTGTTACATACTTTTGCACGAATACAATATTCCCTTTTACTCTACGAGTAACGGGTATAATAAGATTTGGAAAGATGCAAACTTGATCTGCGTACACTTGTTTTACGACGACTGTGCAAGTTTCAGATCGCTAGCTTTTAAACTAAACTCGCAAACGGTATTGAAACAGACGAACAGACATTCATGGCTATATCGACTCCCCTATTGATCTGATCAAGAATATATGTCGGAAATGGGGGTCGGAATATGGGGTCAGAAACGTCTACTTCACTGCGTTACACATTTCTGACCAAAATTATAATACCCTTTGCAAGGGTATAAAAACTTAATTTAGGCTTTATAGATTTGTATATTTCTCAATAATTATTTTGCTGTAATACCCACTTCATCGTATAAGGCAACGTTATGCAACTTAATTAGTCTTTCGCTATCTCTATATTGTCCTTTCTTTTCAAGAGTCATTCAAAATTAGTATATTCAAGCTGCTTTTGATTTCCATTTTAGTTTTGGGTTTTAAAAACATAATCAAATCAAAAAAAAATTTGTTTTTTGATTACTTCCGAATGGCTAATCATTTTTATGACTTATGCACTTATAGTCCAAGTATATTTCAAGCAGCTCAACAATACCTTTTGATTTCTAAAACGAAAGATATGTATATATGTTGTTTTTTTTGCAACGGGGAAAAAATAAACAGACTTTTTTGGACACATCAATAAAAAGAATAAAATAAAAGAATAGAATAAAATTTAGAAAATTGTACTGTTTTTACTGTATTTCATAACTAAAAATTTACAATATTTAACCATTTCATAATTTAAATTTGTAGCCTGGTTCGGATTGCGATTCTTCGAACTTTAAAGGCGATGAGTCTGGGACCACACTAAAAAGGACAGATTTAAATGTAAGTGCTAAAAAAAACATGGCAATATAAATAATGACTTTCTGTAAAATATATTATTAGCGCAAACTTCCTGCATATGCCCGAGTAAAACAGTCTAGGGTTCCCAACGCCTATGATAAGACTGCATTGAAATTGGAAATCGGTGATATTATTAAAGTCACGAAAACTAATATTAATGGACAATGGGAGGGGGAACTAAATGGGAGAAATGGTCACTTTCCATTCACGCACGTTGAATTTGTCGATGATTGTGATTAATGAATCTTATTCTCTATAATTTTAATTTGTAAGTTAAATGTATTAAACCTAAGTTGTGCAAACCAATTGTTATCATAATCAAAAAATTAAATAAACATTAAATGAGTTTAGAAAATACACGCGAATGAAGGGGGAATGGTATTGTATTGTGTTATGCTATATTACAAATTTTGTATATCTGCCAATTTCAATAATTTAGAATTTGTTTTTTCTAAAAGTGGAAGTGTATGTTACGTATGAAATATTAGGGCCACATACACTTAACACTTTTCTGTATGCCAAATGGATTGTCGCGGGCCGCGCAATACGATCCCCTACTGTCAAGCTTTTCTGTCAAAAGTTGTTATATTATGTTATTTTTACGTTATAATTATTTGAATGAATATATATATGTATACTTGGGTACATACATCGATTAATGTGTAATAGTGATACTTGAAGTTTAATAAAAACAAGAGAGAACGCTATAGTCGAGTGCCTCGACTATTAGATACCCGTTACTCAGCTAAACAACTTTAGATGAAAACTATCCCAATTTCCTTTAATAGAAATCCTTATCGAGAATTAACGTTGACTCTGTTGAGCACCTTGGCCAGTTGTTCCAAAGTCATCCGTTAGATGGCGCCATGAAAGGCGGAAATGTAGGCGCTAGCCAGGCTTAAGCGTTTAATGGGTTTTTGGGCGTAAGAGTGGGCGTGGCAAACTTTTATTAGGCCAATCGATATTTATTGACGAAACAAATACATTTCAATTAAAATTTTCATAATATCATCAAAACTTTGGCCACAAAGCTGTGGCTTGTGGGCGTCAGAGGGGGCGTGGCACCATTTTGAAACAAACTTGCGCTGCGTAGGAACTTCTAAAATCTACATGCAAAATGCCAATCTTCTAGCTTTTATAGTTTCCGAGATCTCAGCGTTCATACGGACAGACAGACAGACGGACAGACAGACGGACAGACGGACATGGCTATATCGACTCGGCTAGTGATCCTGATCAAGAATATATATACTTTATAGGGTCGGAAACGCTTCCTTCTACCTGTTACATACTTTTGCACGAATACAATATACCCTTTTACTCTACGAGTAACGGGTATAAAAAGAGCACAATAAGTTAACTAACTAAAGAGGTGAATTAAAAAATATCTATTAAGATATGTTATTAGTGTATGTTAAAGGTTATGGTGATGATAACATAATTAAAGCTGATATTCTAAAACGCATTGATCTAAAAAGAAAAGGTATATTCATAATAATTTCTATATAAGTGTTATATAGAAACCAGGAACATTTTTTTATTAAATATTGAATATTAAAACACATGTTTTATGAAAAATACAGCGAATTAAAAACAGAATAAAAACGAGACTCGGAGCATAATCAATTGCCCCAAGGATGACGGAAAGTAGCAAGTCAGCTGCTACATTAATGGCGACCGTGACCGTGACAATTTCGTCATTCGAGCGTCATTTGTTTGCATGAGGATCTGATAACTATTCACGTGCAGGTTGTGGAGGCTGTTGTATGCGTATAAGCTGAACAGGCTTTCAGCTCAAGTCGAGTAATCGCACCAAAACGAATGTGGTACGGCCATCGAAAGCAACACGGACACATACACTGGGCTCATCCTAACCGGAAACGCAATGTGGAAACTTTGTTCAAAAACATTTGGCCACAAGTGGAAAAGCTAAACAGCCTTCTAGCTCAACGGTGGTACAATCATCGAAATCATCACGGACTCTCACGGACTCCTAAGCTCAAATGCAACGTGGCCGATAACATTCCTCACAAATAAAGGAGAGTTTGGAGGAATACAGCTGGTGAGAGTTTGGAGAATACAGCTGGCGAGAGTTTGGAGAGAAACAAGAAGAGAGTTTGGAGAATACGGCTGGAGAGAGTTTGGAGAATACAGCTGGCGAGAGTTTGGAGAGAAACAAGAAGAGAGTTTGGAGAATACGGCTGGAGAGAGTTTGGAGAGAACGTGTAACGGTAGAAGGCGGCGGACTTTGAACCGAGTATGGTGCCGTGCGCAAAACCAAAAAGGAGAAGCCGAGAATTAACGGGATACGCCGGCCTATATAAGCGGGCCGAGCGCAGGAAGCGGGATCAGTCGATCACAAGGAGTCAATCCAGCAAGATCAGTAGACAAGCAGAAAACCAGTGAATAAAGCAAGTCAAGTCAACATCAGGAGGAAGCAGAGCCGCGCCGAGTCAACAGGAGCAAGATCGCTACATCAAGACGTTCGGGACTTAGAGTTGAAGTCTCCGAGCTGAGAAACAGGTAGCTGAGGTCCTTAAGGCATCATGCGGCTAAGTCTAGGCGCTTTATTCGAATTATTGTCGCGATTTGAGCTTGGCGTATTGCTCGGCGAATCCGACAGAAGTGAATAAAAAGAGTCCTTCGACAAAGAACCGGGGGCTCGGAAGGGAAGTTGTCCAGAACCAGCTGCCGTGCGAAAACAATTGCCTTGTCGAATTCCGGCGTACGCCTGAACCGGCAGGCGAGAATTGTGCAGGCCCTGGTGCGACTAGCCAAGAAGGACGCGCGTCCGAACCACGGGTGTCTCGAGAGGCGTATGCGTCGAGAGCACAGTAGTTCACCGCCAGAGTCCTAGACAGGCAGCTGACCGAATCCCGAGAGCCAAAGACCCGCTGCACCTAGTCTCACAAGAGCACGCGGACAACGGAGCCAGGATTCGCGCCGTGAGCAGAGCGAGGACATCGAGAACACGAGAAACGACGAGCAGTCATCGCGACGAGCAGTCATCGTAGGCCCAGCAACAACCAAGCTACACTCCGACGTATCCAGTCCACGGCTAAGAAGCGAGGGCGGAAGCGTTCGTCTTGAACCTTGCGTCCTGCCACAGGGACTGCATTGACTGACTGCCGTCAGGTAAAAACTGTGTAGGCGTCTGGTGTGACCGGCCGGGACAGATCCAGGGACAGGAGGCTGTGGCTGCGAAAGGCGTACGCTTTGAGAGCCTAGTGCCTGTTCACCCTAGTCTGGGAACGGTGACGCATCCCTAGACCCTCAAAAACCCCGAGGCCAAAGACAGCGGAGGCGTTACGGAGCAGCGAGCAGCGAACAGCGAGACAGCGGAGAGCGACGGTGGAGCGACCACAATTCTTCAAGGAAGGCGTTGAGATACCCATCTGTCATCATTAGTCCCAGGCCGAGGGACAAGTCGGCGAATAAAGATCCTAATACAAATATCCTAACATTCTGTGCGTTCTCACTAGACAATCGGGCGGTCACGTTTATATAAATTTGGTGGGACGAACAACACACATCTTCTGAGCTAGCCGCACGATACTCGTAGAGAGCAGACATACAAAATCAGTTCGTTACAACATTCAACGGCAGCGTCCGCGGAGGAAGGCAGCCATCGCAACCCATCTCTTAACTCGGCGTTGCCCACTTTATCGTAATATATCACATATTCTTCATCGGCAATGGGAATATTGCGCATGGAAAAAGTCGAAGATGGGAAAGGCAAAACTAACACATCCTAGATCACAGAGAAGCACCATCGAACGCCATATAGAAAACATATATAGCAAGGTAAACGATGAAAGAACCGGTGAAGAAATGAATGTAGGCAGCAAATTCTAGAATCGCATTATCGTCAGTTGTGTCAGATTCAAACTCAAATTTAATCTAAGGTCTACTAATAACAATCGGGCAGAAATAGATGAAAGTTGTATGTCACTAATTTAGTCAAATCAACGTCAAGTCACTGCAGATCTGCTGGATCTTTCATTCTCTCTTGCGAATTTGCCCCGTCGCTCGCCCCTTAGCTAAGCATAGGTCTAAGAGATGTAAAATGAAATTAAAAAGCCAGTGTTCAATCGAATCTGATCTTCACCTCACTCCCTTTCGCTAAATAAAGTCGTCGCTCTTTTCCAATCAAAGTTCGCGTTTTCCTTTTTTTAATACAAAACAGTATTAATTTTATATGGTGACCCCGACGTGATCGATTGGAATAGCGTTCGCGATTGTGCCCCATTTTTTTTTGGTATAAACAACTTCTCGCGTCGGTACGGCAAACAATTTTTTTTGGAAACTGTCTGCGTTGGAAGTGTCTGCCGATCTCTTTCTTGCTGCTGCTGCTTGGAGATGGACCCAAAGGAAGTTTCAAACCCGAATTGGCCAACCATGTAAATATAGAGTGCTCAAAGTTGAAAGTTAATCTGTGGCGTTTGTTAATTGTGTTTGGCCCATCTTTCAAATTTTTGCATTCGTGTAAAAATAGTCATAAATAAAATATTGCATGTACTAACAATTATAATTCACACAAATATTTCGAATTATACATAAGTAAATACAGGGTGGCCCATATAGCGTTTGCATTTTGAACTATCGATAATTTTGACTTTGACATTTCGAATGTCATTGTCAGTGTGTTAGATATTTTGTAGAAGGAAAATTGGGAAAATCTTCAACCGAAACTGCAAGAAAATTGCGGTCAAAATTCGGAAAAAAATAAAGCGCCTTCCAGGCAGTTTGTGGATAGTTTTGGGAAGCGGTTGTGTGGGACTAGATCGTTGATGGATAAAACAACACGTTTACGTGCTCGTCCAGTTCGGTCGGTCGAAAATATCGCTGCGGTGGCCGAAAGTGTCAATGGAAATCCGAAGACGTCAACTCGGCACCGTGCTCAAGAGTTGGACATTTCGCGCACTTCCCTGAACGGATTTTAACCAAATTCAGTTGGTTCAGCAGCTTTAGCCGCATGACCATCCAATGCGTTTTCGGTTCGCGGAATGGGCTCAGGAGCGCTTGTTCGAAGTTGACAATTTTTACCGAAAAACCGTGTTTTCTGATGAGGCCCATTTCCACCTCGGTGGTTATGTTAATAAGCAAAACTGTCGTATTTGGGGTTAAGACGTCGTCTTGGAGAAGCCAATGCATCCACAACGAGTGGCTCTTTGGTGCGGTATGTGGTCGGGTGGCATCATTGGGCCGTTTTTCTTTGAGTATTAGAGTATTACTAAAATTGTCAATCCGAGAAAATCGCGGCAAAAAACCTGTGTAGCAGAATTTTCCCGCGCTTTTCATAATTTTTCTTACGCTTTTCTTTATTTTCCCGCGCCTTTCAGCATCACGCTTATC